TGTCTGTACATTTGATAATCACCTTTGTTTTCTCACTTTTGTGCATCTACTTGACAATCTTGACTCACTTTTGAGAAGCTTAGGAGATCAATGAACTCTGCTGTCATTTGTTTTTTAAACCCAGGTTGGAGGCAGGAACCTGTCGCTCCAGAACAACACCGAGTCCAACGCCCTGTGCTGCTACAACCCCATGACCAACCAGTGGAGCCAGCGGGCCCCCCTCAACATCCCCAGGAACAGGGTGGGCGTGGGCGTGGTGGACAGCTGCATCTACGCCGTCGGAGGTTCCCAGGGTTCTCTGCATCACAACACGGTGGAGAGGTGAGACATTTCTAGGGGTTTTTTTTCTCCCGCCCTGTATGCGCATGAGGCACTCTAGAAATAATTAGATTTTAATGAACATTTCATTTGCTGGGATGAATGTAATGAGCGCCTATTTTCTCTCCTGTACACACTTTGTTAGATTAAGTGCAGCTACCTCCGCACAAGTACGGGTATAATAGGTACGAGAGAGGTGAAATGAATCGCTGCCATTCAACCTAAAGAGCAGTTTCGCTGGTATTTAGCCTAATTAGACAACAACACGAGCTCTTTCAAAACATGTCGAGACAAACTTCCCAGGAATGTCGATCTGGTCGGGAACACTTTACATCTCTGCCGGGAGGAGTTTTAATGCTGTTATAAATCAAGCAATTACTAACAAAAAAAAAAAGCCTGAGAATGACAGTTTCTATTGATACCATTAGCTTTCTTTTCCATATCTAAAGAGCCGCGCTTCAAATGTGACCTTAATCCCTTTTTCCTCGTGAAAGGTATGGATTTCTAAAAGATGCTAGTCACAAGAGAATTATTAGAACTCATCAGACGCCTGTTGGGAGTCTTCTCATGAGAAGCTGCTAAATATAATGAACGCTTGATAAAAGTATTGAAATGAAAATTCAATGTGAAACACATCAAAGGAGATTAGAGCATTTATAGTAATAATAGTTGGCAGAAAAAGGCTTTTTCTCCTCAGGATGCTTCCCAAATGAATCCAAGCAACAGGCAAGACACTCAGCAGGGAGTCATACCTGCCTGCTAAATTAGGAACAAATTCATAATTTGTCACTGATGCATTGTGCGTCTCGCTGCAGATGCATAATGCAGTAATTTCAGCGTTCGGTGTCACTGTCGCTACCATCGCCCAGGACTTTAATTTAGTGCTTTTCTAAAGGGCACTTTGCCAACTTTAAGGGGAAGGTGATGTAATATCAAACCACCCTCCTATCTGCAGTTTACAGCTGGAGTACAGTCGGTGCCAACATCCTTTTAATCATTAACCAGTCAGAGTACATGCAGTCCGGCCCGCCTCACTATGATTCAGTTCCTTCTCGTCGGTGTCATACCTTTACAGGGATCTCAGTGGTAAAAGAACTGTTTGAGATTTGTAGGAAATAATTTGCTGTCATGCTGAGAATTAAAGGCAAAGATGGATATCAGTCCAGTCTTGTTCATTAAATGTGATGCTGCAGACACGGGGCAGCAAACTTAGTTTGTCTGTCTGAAGATAAACCTATGAAGGAACTTTTAAAGCTTGTGAATTAACAGGTAATAATATGTTAGTTTAATCCACAAAAACATGCATCAGCTACAAATTGTGGATTTAGGAAACACTGATCCATTAACTGTAAAAACAGTTTTATTGTGTTTAATATAATAATTAATGAACCGTAGAGCTGCTGGTAGGAGTTTTCTTTTCTTTTGATTTTTTAAATTCATTCGTTCATGTTTCTGGCCAGCTGTTGCCTCCTGCCAACAGTCTTTATGCCAAACTAGTTTAACCCTCAGAGCCCAAAGTGGTTTCTGTGCTTTTCTTGCTCCTGACACATTATTACTCACCGTGGGCTCATTTTTCTCTGCAATATGAAGTCCTGCCCCTCTATAGAAGCAGCACAGCAGCGGTTAGAAGCAGTGAGAGCTCACATGTGTCTTCTGTGTGGTAGGAGAAACTTATAATGCTGTAAATCATTCATGGAAGTTGGATTTCTTTCTATTGCAAAAAAAAAGAAATTAAGAAAAAGATCAACTAAATAGCTTTCCACATACCCACAGCTGTGACCAGTACTGGGGGGAAAATGCAATTCTGCATTCTGTAAATAATTTGCTATTTACACTTTTAATTTTGAGCATTTTTAACACTTTAGCACTCTCTTATGTGCTTTGTGTAAACACAGCCTGCAGTTCAGCCCAGTTTAGAATTCTTGTCACGTGTTTTCGTAGCCAAGTCGCTAACGGCGTCATAGCTGCACCGAGGGCCACTGAACAGAATCTTGTTACTGTAAATCACTTATCATTGGCAAATTTTTACATGGAGCATAAAGGGATGTGGGGCTGCAGGGTGGCGCAGTTGGTAGCACTGTTGCCTCGCAGCAAGAAGGTCGCCGGTTCGCGTCCCGGTGGGGGCACCGGGATCTTTCTGTGTGGAGTCTCCATGTTCTCTCTGTGCAGCGTGGGTTCTCTCCGGGTTCTCTGTCTTCCTCCCACACAGTCCAAAAACATGTTGAGGTTGATTGGTGATTCTAAATTGTCTGTAGGTGTGAATGTGAGTGTGCTTGGTTGTCTGTCTCTAAGTGTAGCCCTGTGATAGACTGGTGACCTGTCCAGGGTGTCCCCTGCCTTCACCCTAAGTCAGCTGGGATAGACTCCAGCCCCCCATGACCCTAGTGAGGATTAAGCGGTGTATAGATAATGGATGGATGGATGTATAAAGGGATGTTCATAAAATATCGTGATTTGATTTGATTTTTGATTTTTTTCAGGAACTGTTAGATCGTTGAAAATATTCTTTCTGCTTTTACTGTTTCTAACTCTGGTAAATGGTGTAATTTTGGCATTTGTCAGATAACATGCCTTCAAAACCCGCTAGTGGGCTTTGCGGTCCAGAGGGTTACCATTAATTCAACCGTAGACCTTTAAGCCGTTTCTTTTTTTTCTCACTACTGGCACACTGAAAATTTGCTGTTTTTCAGAGACGTCTGCTTCACTCCGTGTCGACTTTCTTGTCTCTGTCTGCTCTCGCTGGTGTTACAACATCTTTGGCTTCAAATAAAGCTCGTCAATAGTTGCCAAACATGGTTGCCAGCTTAACCTAATCCACTTAAAGTTGACTGGCTCGTGTAGATTGAGGAGGTTGCTGCGCACAGGCTGCTCCCCTCTGAATCAATTTAACGTTTGCAGCCCCCGATGCATTCGTTTGATCATTTTAACGGACTAATATGCAACGTCATTAGTGAAATGCCAACAGATTACCGCCACACTGACCACTGTGCAGGCGCTGCATGACTGCTGTTCTTTGGTTCGCAGGTGGGATCCAGAGTCCAACCGCTGGTCCTTTGTTTGTCCGATGTCGGTGGCTCGCCTGGGGGCCGGGGTGGCGGCCTGTGGCGGGGCTCTGTATGTGGTGGGGGGATATGACGGACAGAACCGCTGGAACACTGCTGAGAAATACCAGCCCGACACTAACAGCTGGCACCAACTAGCTCCCATGAACACTATTCGCAGCGGACTGGGTGAGTGTGTGTGTGTGCAGTGAGACTAAACACAATTAGGACAGTTTAGTATTTGATTGAAATCAAAATAACAGATTTAGATTGTGTGCGTCTCTGTGTATGCAAGGTTTTCTTTCACGCTTGTGTTTACTAGTTGTCCCAAATAAGATCTTGTGCGCTTTCTTTGTAAAGAGTGAAAAGCACTATGTAAGTACAGGCCATTTAACATTTACTTTCTGGCCTTTTTGGCCCAATTTAGGGCTTCAGCCAGCAGGAAATTGGCTTAACTTTAAACTGGAAACACGAGGAAACATCTGCCTTGTGCTAATTGACGTGTTATCCCTGGAGTTTCCACTTCACCTGCTAAACAAATAGTCCCCCTACAGACTGCACCATGTTGTTTTTACACATCTGTCTTTTTACATATTAAACATGCAAACATATAAATGTATGTATTTGAGCCAGATGAGCTGTTTCCCCATTTTCTGTTTTGATGCCAAAGTCACATAGCATTCATATTTCTGAGACTGGTATCAATCTTCTCATCTAACATTTAGTTTCCCCTTTTTCCGTCTGTCGTTGCAGGACTGGTGTGTGTGAACTCCTACCTGTACGCTGTAGGAGGCTACGATGGGCGCTCGCAGCTGTGCTCCGTGGAACGTTACAACACGGTCAGGAACATCTGGGAGCCCAGAGCCGCCATGCAGTACTGCCGCAGCGCACATGGAATCACAGTCCACCAGGGATGCATCTTTGTCTTCGGTCAGTTGCGTCACTAATCGCAATCACTAGAGCAGGGGTCTCGAACTCCGGTCCTCGAGGGCCGCAATCCTGCATGTTTTAGATGTTTCCCTCTTCCAACACACCTGATTCAAATGATCAGGATCGTTATCAGGCTTCTGCAGAGCTTGATGATGAGCTGATCATTTGAATCAGGTGTGTTGGAAGAAGGGAAACATCTAAAACATGCAGGATTGCGGCCCTCAAGGACCGGAGTTCGACACCCCTGGTTAGGACATTGGGTTGCATTCTAACATGTTACTGCAGGACAGAGTTAGTGACACAGTTTGTTTTTTTTTCTCCATTATTTCTGGTTTACAATTGATTGCCATTGATTGCTTATCACCGCCTTTTTTTTTTCTCTTTCTCATATTGAAGATAATATTTACCTTTTCACAAAGCAGTTTCATTTTGTCTATACTAAAAAACAAATCCTAGTAAATGTCGTGACACCTGCTAGCATCCCGATGCATAAAAATACAGGCTGATTAACTAATGAAATAATTCTATTGACTAGCCGACAGATCAGTAGGTGATCCACTCTTACTACAGTGGGAGCTGTGCTTTTTTTTTCTTCCTAATGCGGCTCATTGACTCAGCGTAGTTTAATTAAACAGACTAACGTATGGTTCAAATGTGAAGAGTAAACAGATCCGCGGCAGGCAAATTAAATGTCACATCGGGAAGAAATAACAAGTAAATTAAATCAACTGCAAATCAAAGAGTAAAATTCACCTGTTTAACGAATCCATTTATGAACTGAGAAATAAATTGCTTAAAGACGGAATAATTGAATTTAATTATTCATTGATACACAGTCGCCTAATTTGTTTATTAGCAGCTTCATTAACCGTACTGTTTCTCTCTCTCTCTCGGTGTGTTTGCCCATTCAGGAGGTTTTAACCAGCACGGCTTCCTGTCCAGCGTCGAGTGCTACTGTCCAGAAAGAAATGAATGGACTTGCGTCACCGACATGCCTCTTGGACGCAGCGGCATGGGCGTCGCTGTTACCATGGAGCCGTGTCCTGGCAACCTGCCAGGACTGGAGGAGGAGGAGGAGGAGGAGGAGGATGGAGCCACGTAAGACGAAATTCTATTGTAGCCTCGAGTGCTGGATACACTTTTTTTTTAAGTGGTGCTGCTTTTCAAGACAAGGGGGCCAAGTGCATTAAATAAATAAAAAAAAAAAAACATTCCAAAATAAAACTCCTCACATCTCCCCGCCCTCATGGATCTCGCACCAATAGATACAGCTTCTGTCTGTATGGGAACTTTGAAGAGGAAGAAATGTATAGTGGGTCAAGTGATGCAGAACAAGTGGTAGCATGTGGCAGTGACCTCACGACGAACTGGTGCTACTGATGTAAACTCAAACAATATTTAATTAAATGTCACCGCTTTGAATCTCTTTAGTGCTTCAGTTTCATTTGAAGATTAACTTGAACGGCCGTCTGTTTCTAATTCCTCTACCTACACGTGTCTGTTTCTCTGTCCAACTTTTCTTATGTGTCCTCTTCATTTTTGTGCCAAAGTAGTTCCATCGAAAGCTGCCATTTGTAAAAAAAAGAAATTCTTTATTTTCTGTGCGTGTGTGTGTGTGTGTGTGTGCAATCACTGTATTTTATGTTTCTGAAAATAAATTGAATCAAATATGTAAATGACAAACATTTCATTCAGCAGATGCGTTTTACTGACCTCTGGTGATCTCCGTCTTCAGAGTGGCTGCTCTGTAACAGCGTATGCTTTACCACTAGATGGTGGAATAAGTCCAAGAACAGCTGCAACGCAAAATGTTTTGTCTGGTTTTCTGGTTTGCTGTGTAAAAGAAGAACTCCTGTGATGCTGACTGCTTAAAACATAACAAAGCAAAAAGAGTAAAGGCTCTACATCTGGGCACACAACTACGTGATCCCAGAATAATATATCTATGGATTGTGGGCAGTGATGTGCTGTTTGGATAAAGCATGTTTGTTCTTGTGTTTGAATAATTAGAGTTAAACAGCCTTTATTCCAGCAGTCCACAAGAAAGAAAGAAAGAAAGAAAGAAAGAAAGAGAGTGTTGGAGTCACTACAGCGTTAGTCATCAACCACAGATGTCACTTGTGTGTTTACCTTTCTCTCTCTCTCTCTCTCTCTCTCTCTTTCTCTGCACTGCTGTTGTCTATCTCCTCCGTGGCTCACCTGCAATTATCACAGCAGGACACCAGCGAAGACAGTCCTGGACAGAGCTATTATTCAAATATAGCCTCTGTCTTCTCATCACGTCTTCTGATGAGATTTCCAACTGAGAGAAGAAACCACGAAAGTGGCAGAAAAAACTGTGTAGATGGGTTTTTATTGCGTTGCTGGAATAATAGGTATGCAAGGGGATTACAGCATCGTGTTTATCTCCTCTTCAAGTGTATCTCAGATTTCAAACATCCATTCATTGCATTCATTATTGACAGAGCAACCTGTTGGGCGACGAGCAGAGATGGAGCAGTGGCAGAGCAGAAAGCAGTTCTGGTTTTGCATTCGGGCCCCAGAGAGCGGAGACGGACGAGGGAGGAGAGGGCTCTTACTCACTACTTACAGCCCTGTACACAAGAGCAAGTGACTCACATGGCGAACGCATGACGCAGGCATCTCGTACACGCTCGCACATGGATACGCAAATATGTGTGTGTCCGCACACAAACCCATTTGTCCTTTATCTGTCGCACACAAACGCGCTCGCATATGTGTGTGTGTGCACACTCGTGCAAAACAAAGCTGGCTGTCTCTTATTCACAGGCTGTGGAAACAGATTTGCCTCAATGTGTTCATTGTCTCATGAGGGGAGGGGAATCAAGAAAGAGATGTAGCACTGTACAGCAGGGAGATTTGCCTTCCATAGAGAATCAGTGGAGGAAAATTAGTACACATACAGATGTAGTCTGTTGTACAAAGTCCATCTTTTGCATGCTCACTGCACTAACGCCAAACAGTTGCGCAACCCCAAGAGGAACTGCTGGAGGAGAGAATCTTCCTCTGATGGAGCAGAAGAGATGCAGGGATTGAAGAGGGGCTGCTGTCATTTGTGAAAACTGTAAAAACCGTTTTGCTCAATTATTATGTGGCCCACAAACAACAACAAAAGAGGACTTCATCATGCCACTGAAGTCATCACTGTAGTGCCTGGTGATGTGCAGTTAAACGGACAGAATAGAGCAAAAAAAAACTGGGCCATTAAATGAACTGGGCTTGTGTTGAGAATGCATATGTTAGGGCCGGCTAGTCCAGTGTGTGAACATGGGGAACTGATTGAATCTAAAAGAGCTGATATTATCATCAATCATTGCATAACGGAGCTACGCAGCGCGCTGAAATGTGCATGTGGGGATTAAAAAGTCTGCGGGAGCTTAGAAATGCTCTAAGTAACATAGAGTATGTTGTAACCACCGAGCCTTTTTCAAGTCTGTTGAGGGTGAAGGAAGCCTGAAGGGGCCCAAAGCAGCCTGTTCCATCACTGAGTATTACAATGAGGCTTATCCTGTTGGATGTGGCTTATTTGGCCTTATTCAGATCTGCACGCAGGCAGGAGGTGGAATCAAGGCTCTATAGGATCTGAAGAGGTGGGGCGGGGGTGGGGTGGGGGGGCTTTTTACGCCAGTGGGCCTATAGCTGGATGTGTGTAGGTGTGACCTTGGGAAGTGATGACCTCATCAACATCCCTGCCTGCAAAGCTAATCTGTTACATTCTGAAGGATGCTCCTACGATGGAGCCACCCATGAAGGTGACATTGGTGAGTGGGCTGGTGGCGTGGAAACACACCCCCTCGATGAGGCAAACACATTTAAATGAGGATTACGAGCGCGCAGATGCATGTGAGTACTGTACATGCATGCAAATACTGTACCCACATTAGTCACCTGACGCCGACGAAGATTCAAAAGTGAAAACCACCCAAAGTTGCGCTGTGAAGACGATGACCCACATGCCTGCAGCAGGTGTTTCAGCATGATTGTGGTTAAAAGGTCGGATTGCTTATCTGACCCTGAAGATTTTCTGCACAGAAATTCTTTTGTTTTTTTTTAGAAAACAGTAAAACTTCAAGCAGGTGTGGCTCAATAAACACTGTTCACAACTTCCCCTGGATTAACCGTGAGCGATGATACTGCCATTTGTGACATGTAATAGTGTTTTGCATGACTAATTTTCGCCTTTTCTTTTTGCAAGCAGACGCCCTTGAGCAAGGCACGTCCAGCTGATGCAATGGAGACAGCCCGGCGAGGCTGCTGGGATTGCTTGTGAGCAAAATGAGCGGGAAGCGTATAGTCATGGGTACTGAGCCAGTACAACATGGCAACAGCACAGAATAGACAGCTGTGGGATTGTTCTTCTAGATTGATTCATTTACTTCATGGTTTTTGCTGCTTTTTATTCTGAGTTGTAAACGATCATTATTTACCTTTAATGCTGAGTGCATAGCCAGAACCGAGCATCATATTAAGAGCCAGATGGAAGCATCATCTGCATTCAACATCTGCAGGAGGTAAAACTGCACATGAAGTTTGAGAGAATTTCAGAATTACATTTCACCAGGAGACTTTCAGAGGCGGCTCACTCTGGCCCTCTAACATGGTGACCTTACACTTTTTTTTTTTTTTAAAGCTCACCATGACATTCTCTCACCATTCCTGCACTGACATATAGCTTCTGTGAGGTGTTTACACAGTGTTTACCAGAGTGTTTGTTATAATCATATGCAGAGAGGCTGCTGCTGCTGCTGCTGTTGTGTTTTTTCCGTTGCTGATGGGAGCCTGCCTGTTGTGAGCATGTAGTGCGGCCGACTGGTCTGTGTGTTCCCTTCAACTGTGTTTCTCTCAGACTCGGAGGAAAGCATGAGTGGACGGTTTCAAGCTCCCCTCTCGCTGAATTGATTCTACTATGGGTCCTCTAGAAACACGGCGCCGAAACACAGGGGAGCACGACTCCGAGCTGCTCTTAATTTCCACCTTTTTGGACACTTTTAAAAAGCCACGTTTAACGAATTCAAGCCCGTCACGTCGACACGCTGTGTGCGGTTTAGTTTAAGCGAACGTTAGCTCCAGCGGTTTCTCCTCTCCCGGAAATGCACGTTCCCATCTCCCCCCTGTACCCAAAGATGGTATATTCCACAATTTATTCCAGGGAAAGACTGACAGTTTTTTGGGTCATGAAGCAGCTGTTCAAGTCAGTGGTTCGTCCTCCCTCCGCAAGAATAAGGAATTAGTACATTTCAAATTAGATAACGACAAACGTTGGTGCAAGAAGAGAAAAAGTATGACAATATGTCCGCTGCACAGAATAAAGCGTTGAAACTTGAGGGAAAAAAATCATTTTTATTATTATATTGCAATGCAAAAGCATGTTTCTTTTCCAGCTCATTTCATTTTTCACCACATTAATATGAGCTGTGTTTGTTGTTTATATTTTTGTGGCCTGTTACTGCAGGAGGAGCGAACAAGTAGAGCAAATTCCTTTAAAAAAAAATAAAAAATTCTCATGATATTAAAGGTTGAGAACTCACTGTCTCACACACACACACACACACACACACACATACCGTAACAGAGCTACAGTAGAAAGTGGAGTTGAACAATGCTGGAATGACTGTTGACCTCTGTTCAATAAATCCAGTTAACGTTAGGTTGTGCCTCGGCCATCCATCAGCCTCCTGTGCAGGTTTAAATTTATAATTCTGCTCCTGTTTTTGGAGGCAGACAAGATCTTGACCAGACTTGGCTACTCAACGTGTACATTTCATGATCAACACATCTCGGAAAGCCTTTCAAATATGGATTCATGTGCATTTTCTGCATTTTTTGCATTCACCTGACTTCAAAAAAACACAGTTTGTGTTCACGAGGAGTGGCTGAATTTGTGCACAGAGCTGCATACGTGTACTGCTGATTGTTTTTTGTGCATGTGTGTGTGTTTGTGTGCACACAACGTGGGTCAAGCCCCTTGGAAACAGCAGCAGAGGTCCTCTGCTTTTAAGTGGATTAAAACTCCAGCACAATCCCCAGGGCCAGCAGGCATTGGACAGACTGGGTGTAGTTTAGATGAGGACTTAAGACTGATTATCTCTCATGCTGCCTTTGTTTTTTGCTGCTACTGTTGCGTATACGGGTAATGCTGTACAGTATATGGAAATTTACTGCCGTACATATTAGCAGTGAAGCAGGTATTCCAGTCTGCACATCAGCGCGGTTGTATTTTTCCTCATCTATGTCGATTCCTTTTTGCTGAACATCAGTCCGGAGCTGCACTTTGAACATCAGCTGTTACCAACTTTGCCGAGCTGCCGCAGTGGAAAGATTCCTCAGCTCTGAATGTATACCTGCAGATTGTTTATGTTTAGTCTGCCATCATGCAGCCCGTCTTATCTACGCTGTAATATACGA